TATATATATATATATATATATATATATATATATATATATATATATATATATATATATATATATATATATATATATATATATATATATATATATATATATATATATATATATATATATATATATATATATATATATATATATATATATATATATATATATATATATATATATATATATATATATATATATATATATATATATATATATATATATATATATATATATATATATATATATATATATATATATATATATATATATATATATATATATATATATATATATATATATATATATATATATATATATATATATATATATATATATATATATATATATATATATATATATATATATATATATATATATATATATATATATATATATATATATATATATATATATATATATATATATATATATATATATATATATATATATATATATATTTACTTATATATATATATATATATAATTATAATTTATCCTTGTGTATAGCATATTCAAAATTCACATTCTATGCACAGTTGTTTAGATGAGTTTTAGGGTCGTAATTTAATTTAGTTTTGTGTTATTTTATTTCATATCATTTTTATTTTAAATGTATTTAATTTTGAACTTTAATTTTTTTCTTTTTTTCTTTTCTTTTATTATTTTTCTTGTGAATTGTTGTGAACTCATGCCTGTACAGCACTTTGAACACTTGTTGTTTCCTTAAAAGTGCTTTATAAACTTTGATTGATTGATTGATTGATTGATTGATCCTGAACTTTTCTGATTTTGACTGTAATGTAATGATGTGCACCTTTTGTGAAACTGCTTTGGAATGATAATTGTTATTAAAAAAAAAGTGATACACAAGTTAACTTCAATTGAAATAATTAAACTAAATTAAATCCAATGATTGAGTGATTGATATTGAAGATGCAAAATGTACCCGCATCTCTATTCTGAAAATCTCCCATAAACCCTCTGCTGTTTCCCTCAGATTCTGCAGGAGCGCGGCTCTAGAATATGATCATCTGTGTTTTTGAGGCATATCAGTTGTTTCTCTATGAGCTTATTCTTCTCACGCCTTGAGCACCGGATACCAGAAGAGCACCAGAAGAGCCGATTCGCAGTCCCAACCGTGCCTGAGGACACACAAGCGGATTCTCGGCTCAGGATCGGGACTAAAGTAAACCTCAGGGATCATCGGGACACTGCACTGAGTCACAGCTCACTCCTTCAGCAGTCAGTAGAATCAGCATATATGCTCTGCACATACAACAGTGGGATCCCCATACAGAAATCTGATGTACAGTCACCGCCACTTCATTAGGTACACCTTACTAGTATCGGGTTGGAACAAGCTCGAATCCTTCTTGTCTGACCTCTAGCAATTGCGCCCACAGAACTGCCACTCACTGAATATTTTCCCTTTACTGGACCATTCTCTGTAAACCCTAGAGATGGTTGTGCGTGGAAATCCCAGTAGATCAGCAGTTTCTGAAATACTCAGACAGCCCGTGTGGCACCAACAACCATGCCATGTTCATAGTCACTTAAATCCCTTTTCTTCCCCATTCTGATGCTCAGTTTGAACTGCAATAGATCGTCTTGACCATGTCCACATGCCTAAATGCATTGAGTTGCTGCCATGTGATTGGCTGATTAGAAATTTGCGTTGACAAGCAGTCGAACAGGTGTACCTAATAAAGTGGCCGGTGAGCTTATATACAAATTCCAAAACAATTCACAACACGGTTGCATTTGGTAAAGGGATAGTTCACCCAGAAATTACAATATACTCAGTATTTACTCTCCCTCAAGTGGTTATGAAATGTTTCTTTATTTCGTTGAACACAAAAGAAGATATTTTGAAGAATGCTGAAAACCGGTAACCATAGACTTTCCATAGTAGGCAAAACAAATACTATGGAGGTCAATGGCTACTAGATTCTGACATTTTTGTGTTCAACAGTATAAATAAATGCATAAAGAGTTAAGGGTAAGTAAATTATAGCAGATTTTTGTTATTTTTGGGTGAACTATCCCTTTAATGTAAGTTAATGTATTTACTAACATGAACAAACAATGAATAATACTTTTATTACAGTATTTTTCATCTTTTTTTTGGTTATAAAATGTGGATTTTACTAATGCATTAGTAAGTGTTGCATTATGATTATAAAGTGCTGTGCAAGTATTGTTCATTATTAGTTCATAATAGTAAATGCACTAATGAAACCTTATTATAGCTTCATATATGACACACAAGCTCAAATATGAATTTTACATAGATCAAATATGTGATTTAAGGAACATTAAATATTGCAAACATGGCCGCTTACATATATACACCACCTGATGACAAAAGTCTTGTTGTCGATCCTAGCTGTAGGAGCTGTAAATAATAACTTGACTTCTAGTTGAACATTTGGAAAAGTGGCAGAAGGTTGATTTTTCCCATGAATCATCTGTTGAGCTGCATCCCAATCATCACAAATACTGCAGAGGACCTACTGGAACCAGCATGGACTCAAGATTCTCATAGAAATCAGTCAAGTTTGGTTAAGGAAAAATCATGGTTTGGGGTTAAATTTCAATATGGGGGCGTGCGAGAGATCTGCAGAGTGGATGGCAACATCAACAGCCTGAGGTATCAAGACATTTGTGCTGCAGGAGAGGGCAAATTCTCCAGCAGGATAGCGCTCCTCATACTTCAGCCTCCACATCAAAGCTCCTGAAAGCAAAGAAGATGCTCCAGGATTGGCCAGCCAAGTCACCAGACATGAACATTATTGAGCATGTCTGGGGTAAGATGAAGGAGGAGGCATTGAAGATGAATCCAAAGAGTCTTGATGAACTCTGGGAGTCCTGCAGGAACGCTTTATTTGCTGTTCCAGATGACTTTATTAATCAGTGATTTGAGTCAGTGCAGAGATGTATGGATGCAGTCCTCCAAGCTCATGATGGAGTCAGACACAATATTCATTCTGTCTCCACTGCAGCAGGACTTTATATTCTATACTGGACATTATTTCTGTTCAATGACAAGACTTTTGTCTAAGCAAAGTTAGACCTTAGTGTCCTGATTAAATCATTACAAATCAAGACATGATCATATTTGATTTTTGGTAAAATAAGCGTAATCTAGAGGCCTTTGACAAATCAAGTTATTATTTGTTGTTCCTAAAGCTTTTATAGGACTGGACTTTTGTCATGTAGTGTATATATATATTGTACATATATGCTCAAATATATGAAATACACATATATCACCATATCATTCAACAATAATTCAAAACTACAACGTTCATTTGTTCTAAACCTCACTTAGCCTTTTAAAGGCTGAATAAAAGTTTTCATTTCTTTCTAAACTTCTCGCTGACACCAGGATTTTAAACGAAACACATTTTACGGTATGTTTTTTACTCCTTTTTAATGTGAAAAATATTGCTTTTGCACTACTATTGCGCTGTGATTATTATTATTATTATTATCATCACACAAGTGATTTTTCAGTAAATGCACTCGTCATTTAGAAATGTGTATTTTATTACTGCTGTACTGTCGGCTGGACTTTAAAGGGAAGCAGTTTTTTTTTCTGTCAGGAGTAGAGACAGGATTGAGGAAGCATTAAATCACCGTCTCTGACTTTGCACATTTTGATATAAACACTATTAGGCCTACATGTTATATATAAGGTAAGGCTGTGTGCGTTTATATGTATTTTTGAAAATGTTAACAAGATCTCACATCACTAATGCAGCTGAATGTAGCAGCACACACACCCACACACACACACACTTTTAAGATATAAATGCCTTTTTAACAAATAGCTGGGTGTCTGTGAGCTTTTTTACTGTCATCTTGGAGAAATTTAGCTAAAAATAAGATTTGATATTTTGTAATAATATTTTTATTAATTTATTATTCCTTTATGCATTTTTATATTTTAAAAAGAAATTGTTTTAATAAATAAATAGTTATAAATAGGGCAAACAGTGGCTCAGTGGTTAGCACTGTCCCCTCACAGCAAGAAGGTCGCTGGTTCGAGCCTCAGCAAATCCAGTTGGCATTTCTGTGTGGAGTTTGCATGTTCTCCCCGTGTTGGCGTGGGTTTCCTCCAGGCGCTCCGGTTTCCCCCATAGTCAAAACACATAGAGGAATTGAATAAGCTAAATTGGCCATAGTGTATGTGAGTGTGTATGGATGTTTCCCAGTACAGGGTTGCAATTGGAAGGGCATCTGCTGTGTAGAACATATGCTGGAATAGTTGGCAGTTCATTCTGCTGTGGCAACCCTGATAAATAAAAGGACTAAGTTGAAGGAAAATGAATGAATGAACCCCGCCGGTTGTACACCACCCAACCTGCTCTGAGCTGGGATCGAACCGGCGACTCAGTTGCTCTACCAAGGAGGCTAAAGACCATGACCTCTAGCATCTTTTAGAGGTCAGATGACTGAGGTTTACTTGCACAGCACTTCACTTGAGCCTCCGCTACACTCACCCCCCTAAACCTCACCACCATCCGGGTCACGGCACCAATGTAACCCTGTTGGTCCTACACCACCCAACCCGCCCTGAGCTGGGATTGAACCGGCGACCTTCCGCATGGTAGTCGGTTACTCTAACAAAGAGGCTAAAGACCATGGCCTTCGTTACACTTACCGACTCCTATGCGGAAGGTTGCTGGTTCAACCCCAGCTATAGAGGGTTGGGTGGTGTAAGACTGGCGGAGTTACATATACAGACAGAGAAAATAGATAAAAACCTGACAAAAATACTCAATAAAATTCTGAAAACTTAGAATGAAAATATATAATGTGGAAATTAAAACTAATTCAAAGTATTATTAACATTCTCATCATCCTCGGTGAACAGTCGGAGCTGAGGTCACGCCCGGTTTTGATTATTTTGATCACTTTAGCAGCATCAGTCCAAACATTGTATGATTGCTCTGATTCTAATGCTTCTCTATGAGTTATGCAGTGAATCATTTTGAATATTATTATTTCCTCTTTCATGCCGGGAGATTAATTTATGCATCATCGCTGCTCCATCTGTGCGTTCATGTGACCTTCTCCTGCTTTTCCAAAGGTTTTAACTTTCTGTCCTTGAGTAGGCTAAATTATCCAGTGTTTGAGCTAGTTATATTCATGGAGTTTTTTACTTCACTGTATTTGAAAGCATATGATCATACTTTTACTCCACCACCTATCATAAAATATGTGATTCTGGTTTTGTAGTGCAGAAATCGCCTTCAGTTTAGAGATTCGATTGCATGTGTTTGATTCACAATCGAGCTGATTGTTTAGTTAACCCTTATATTTGTTTATATCTATTGAAAATGTAGTAAATTCAATGAATATTTTTTTTTCTATGAAGTTTATTTATTCTGTTTGATTAATTTCTGGTTTACTTGTTTTACTGAACACTTTAAACGATTCATTCATGAAGAAATGTGCAGCAATTTAAATGACTCGGTCGGAGCAAGTCTCTAGTTAGCGATTCACTGTTTATTTATATTCAGCTCACATATATTGTTTATGTCTATAAAAATGAAGTGAATTCAATTAATCTTTTTTTTTTCAGTGAAGTTTATTTATTCTGTTCGATTCTTTTCTGGTTTATTCATTTTACTGAACACTTTAAAGGATGCTTTAATGAAGGAATGTGCGCCGATTCAAATTACGCGGTCGCAGCGATGCTCTAGTTAGTGATTCACTGAATCAAATGAGTCAGAGTGAGTCTTAATAAACGATTCACTTAATTTACGAGTCTGAATCTAAACGAGTCAAGACCGGCAAATCATCCGAGACTGGGTAAGTTAATAACGGCCAATTTTGTGATTTCATTCATAAATAAAAATATATTATATATCACTTATCAGTGAGTTATATCCATGATTTTATTTGTGTCACACTATAACAATGCATGTGTTTTCATTATTATTATTGTTTTTTTTTTTTTTTGTGGCAAAACTCATTCAATAATTTTCTTCTCGCCTTAATCCGCCTGGTGGCAAAACTGAAGTACTAAATTTACTTAAGCTAAAAAAATATTGTTATTTAAATGTAATTGCTAAAATTGTATGTATTGTTTGTTTGTTTGTCTATTTTGAATAACATCACAGATATTTAAGTTTATTTATTCATACTCGTTTTCTGTCCCAATTTAACTTCACAAAATGTAAAAATCACCACAGACAGACAGACAAATTGTTATATAGACAGACAGATAGATAGACAGACAGACAGACAAACAGACAGACAAATAAAAATAAAATTGTCTGGTACTGTCCCTTTAAATGATAGCTGTCTACACGAATGCCTGCTGTAAATGTTTCCACGAAACACAGTCTCAAATTACCGAGCACTTGACGCCTATACGTCTACGCTAAAATATTTAAACAATTCGATCAGTTAAACGAACAGCCTTGCTTTTTTTCCACGGATCCACCGATTTTCCCTCAGGCGATCTGCATGGGTGCTGATGG